CGTGCACACTTATTCACATGCACAGATTTACATAAAACTTGCTTTTGTTTCCCTGTGACATTTTGCTTTCTCTTTTTTTCATTCCAAACAATTTTAAAAATAAGGTTTATTAGACCACACACATCCAGTGCTGTATCATGTCGCTGCTTCTTAAGCAGAACTCTCTAATTTATTTCAAAGGGAAGTTCTGCTTCAAAATTGAGGGTGTGATATGAACTCAGAAATTAACACAAGAATTTTCCTTGGGGGAAACCAAGACTGAATCAGACATGCAATAAATGACCTCGTAAGCCCTGTGCCTTGGTACATCCACATATCCAAAACTGTGCTTTAACACAAAACATTATTCTCAATATTGTCTTATTTCAAGCTAGGTAGAAGAGCTGAAAGAAGTGGATTTGCTTTGGTCAGGAGGGAACAAATTACTCATCCGTCTGTCTGCCAGGAGGTCCATCAGCAGCACTGCACTCCTAACTCTGTGTGCCGGGAGTGTAACAATTCCTGGGGACAGGGAACCATCCTGGAGCGGTGTGAGCCCTGCTGCCAGGGAGCCTGGCTGGGATGCTGCTCTCCCAGAGCAGAAGGCACTGCTGGGAACACATAGAGCTCCTGTTGGCTCCCAGCTGCCTCCCTCCCTCCACACACCACATCTGGAGGGGGATGCAGCCGCCCTCTCCCAGCGACAAATCCCCATGGCACGGAGACTCTGGGGAGCTTTCCCACTGGTTCAAACAAGATCAGAACCCAGCACAGGAAAAAACAACACTAAACTATTGCCCTGACAGTGCAAGTCAGGACAGAGAGGCAGAGGAACAGCTGAGCTGCAGATTTCCTTCTGCCAGCTGCTGTGGGGGCCACAGTGTCCTCCTGCAGAGGGATGGAGCAGCCCTGGGGAGGGGATGCAACAGAAGCAGCCGTGTCCTGAGCCTCAGCTGCTGCTGCTTCAGCTTCTGTCCAGTGAAGAGCAGCGCCAGACTGCAGCTCCATGCTTTTCTGACCTCGTGTTAGACATTTGGGCCCTGTGGCCCCAGGCCAGCAGTAACTGCACTTTGATCTTGCCCTGCCCAAGGGGACATTTCATACCCTCTGAACAAGCCCAAGGAGCCCAGCGGACCACAGGGACCAGGCTCTGAAAAGCCACATTATTGTGAGCTCTGCTGTCTTATTTGGGGACTTCAGCTGTGCAGAGCTTGGCGAGGTACCCCCACTCTTCTACTCCCTTGTAAGCTCTTGTTTGACAACTTAGTAATTAAGAAAATGAGGTAGTGTCTGTTTTCCAAAGAAAAAGAAGCTCTTGAACTTCTGTTTCTCACACAGACAGAAAGTCCAGTGCCTCAGCTTAACATGCAGAACATTTTCATCCTGCCTTTACACTCCTCACACACTCACCACACACATCTGAAGTACACAGAAAATGTGAGGAGCTCCCCTGAAATCTCTCCCATCAATGGGAGCAGGGAGACCTCGTGCCCTATATACAGGGCAGCATGGCTCATTCCCCTATTTTATAAACCTATTTACAAAAAGAACTTAAAGGAACTTACAAGAGCTCCTTTTACCATTTAACTACCACATAGTACAAGATATAACAATGTTCAGAAAACCCCCTCAGGTCTAAACTCAATTATACAACTGTAGCAAGAAAAATATTTTAATCTGATCAAAGTGTTAACATGTTTGACCATGTCTGACCTCTAATGTTTGTAACCACCTAAAAGGCTGCTGTTCTTACTAAGGATGTACCTTAATTTGATTTAAAGTCATTTGTACTATTTAAAAAAGGATATAGTTTTATGATTTTATATTTAATTTAGAAAAACAGTTCCTCAGCTTGTTCATATTCTTTGGAAGTTTCTTGCAGATTTTTTAACCCGTAAGTCCTATATATTTCACTCTGGGAAAAGCTGGACCTTGCACAAGATGGGATAAAGTGGAGCCTTGAACGACCACACACACAACACCTGAGAGCCAGGTGAGAGGTGGCTCTCCTGGGGCCTTGCAGAGGATTTCAGATGCACACACAGGCTGTGCCAAGATGCTCTTGAACACCCTTGACTGCGTGTGCCCTCCCCAGCCTGGCAGCTCCCAGAACAAGGGACCCTGGGCTCAGCCCTCTGCCTTGTCCTCAGCTCCAAAGCACCTTCACCCTGCCCACGCCCCCAGCAACAGCTCCACTGCCAGTCCAGGAAGGCTGTGCCTGCCCAAACCAGCAGCTCTCCAGCTGAATCATCCCACACTGGCATGTGCCACCTTCAGCCCAGGAGGGCCACCCTGCTGCGGGCAGCTCCTGCCAGCCCTGTGCTGCTGGCCCTCCATCAGCCGGGCTGAGGGCAGCTCCCCGGCATCTTCAGAGCACGTCAATAACGTGGTTGGGTGTGTTTTGGTAAAAAGAGGCAATTTTGGCTGGGAGATGTGGGGACCTGAGCAGGATGCTCGGGTGAGCAGCATAACAGTTGGTGGCTACAAACACCTAGAGGGAAACAAAGCAAAAGTGGTGCTGCTGACAGAATCAGAGAGAAAATAGGAGAGAGGAGAGCAGCACCCTGCCACTGCTGGTAGCAACACACCCAGCCAGGCAGGGGCTGGAGCCAGTCCAGAGCCACTCACAGCTCCCCCACAGGGCTCGTGGGGAGCCCACCGAGAAAAATGTGGTTTTACAGAGCGTTGCAGGGCAGGGGTTCAGCCCAGCCTCAGAGCCAGCTGCTCTGTATATTTCAGGGAGTTAGACTCTGTTTTCAATCAGGTAAATTACTGTTTTCAGTGTAAAGCCCTGACAGTTTGCCAAAGTACTCCTGGTTTAATTTTTTAATTGATTTTTTTTTAAGATTCTAAAATTAATCCTACTTGCAAACAACTGTTTCCAGGAAGCCTCATTAACCAAAATACAATCTCCACTATCAAGTGCATGCATGATTGTGATACCTAATCCTATTCACTCACACAACCCTCCTCCCTGACTCGTGCTAAAGTGTTAATTAAACACACTTTTATGGATGGTTAAGTATCTGCAATCTTCGGTCACAGATCTGACCTCCTCGATTATTGGAAGCAGCCACCAGATTATAGCCCACACTTTATATAATGTACACAGCAGCAATAAATCCATATGAGAGCAATCCATAATTTACCATGATAATCTTTGCCCAGTCAATAGAAATGTAAGACAAAATTGCCCAGAGTAATATATTGAAATAGTTATTGCAGTAAGTTGAAAAAAACGCAAGACCAGCCTTCTTCAGGAGGAAGAAATCTTCCCCTGTCCGCCAGGTTTTTAACTGAAAACATCAAATCAGCTCTTCATAAACCATGGCAGGATCCAAACTGGCCTAAAGGAAGCTGTTTGAGGCACTGGGTGATTTTGATGGCCCTCAAGGGGATGGGATCATGCCTTCTCTGCCACACGTATCTTCTCCCTTTCCAGTTCTGCACAGTTCATTTGCTCCTGTCGGCTGCTCTGACAGCAACCGCTCGGATTTTATTCTGTTATCAAGAGAAAAGGTGATTCCTAAACCACAAGCTACTTTATAGCCTAGCTGCTGATAAATACGCTATTGCACTTTGCTGCCCATCTAGGAAGAGTTTAAGATTAAAAGAAATATCCCACCATAGCAAAAAGATGCTGGACTGATGGAACTCTGGACTTACCCAAATTCTATCTCAGGGAGCAAATTAAGTGTGTTTACATAAGACAAATTTAAAAACATTTAAAGTTTATCAGGAAGAGAACAGCTTAATATTTTGGGGAATGAGGGGTACACCTGGTACCTGGATAAGGCGGGAAGCACCGGAAGAAATGCTTATTTGGGTTACAACAACATAAGCGTGCCCTGCCCTGCAAACACATCTGTTCTTGCTGTAAACTGAAGGAAGACTTAAAAATTTAGGGATAGATCCTTGATCTCTGCAAACTTCAGCAAAGTTCCAGCAGTCTGCAGCCAGGAAAAGTGAATCTCCTAGGAAAAGCTGTGTGGGGTCCAGGCAGGCTCATGCAGGGACCTGTCTCCTGCTACCCAGGCCAGCCAGGTCAGGCGTGAGGGTACGGCACCGATTTCCACAAATAATTCTAAGTTTGATACTCCACAATCCATCCATTTTCCATAACACCAGTTTGACATCCTACTCCTCTTGTGAGCAAATTACCAGAATTAAGGACACATTTACATACTCTTTTAAACTTTATCCCTTTAAAGGTTAAAACCTCAAACTGAAATAAACCAGATTACGTTCTGTCCTCACTTTCTGACGGCTAATGGGGAACAATGTCTGAAACAAACGCAGCAGTGCTGGCTCCCAGGAGTGACACCAGCACTGACTGTCTGCTGCAATGTCAGGACATTATTTTCTCAAGGTCTGATCGAGAGGGTGGTGGGAAAAGACAGCTTTTGTAAAGAAGACTTTAGTTTAATCATTCAGATGGCAAAACTTAGAAACATGAGAACGTACAGAATTACTAAAGCTGATTTAAACTGAGAGGGAAAAACTTTCCAGGAGAAAGATGGGAATAGTCCTCCAGCAGCACAAAGCCTTTTCCTGAAAACCTCTATTGCCATTTTAGAAGCACAAGATCCATTTTCTGGGCCATCATCCACAACAGAGCCCTAACACACAAGCTCAGCTGCGGGACATATCCCTGAACACAACCACAAAGACCAGGAGCTGCTCCCTCTAAAGCCCACGACCCAGAAAAAGGAACGGACACTCTTCCATGAGATATTAGGAGTTGACTGCTGGAAGAGTAAAGCCAAACCTAGAGGATGAGGAGACTGGAAAAGCAGCTCCTCCAGCAAACTCAGAGCGAAGCAGGCGCTTCCTGCCGAGCATCTCTCCCCATTCCCACTGCTTTTCCTTTTCGCCTGGACAGAACAGTGTCCAGCTAGTTCAGAAACTGGGCTCCAACTTGTCAGGCAAAAAGCATGTGTAGGCGCCTGCACAATACCAACAACATACTTCAGCAGTGAAAGAGGCCACTAGACTTCTCCATACGGAGAGGAGGAACTCACCAGAGGTGACATAGATCCATTGGGCAGATACGGATCTGAGAGCATCAGGAAAGGGTAACCAGAATAGGCAGATCCTTTATACATCCCTGGGTCCTGATGTTTCATACCTGCTGAAATCAACGTTCCCTGTTAAAATTTGTCTTATGACAGGTGACTCCTCCACCTGTCAGGGGCCCCCAAAGAGGTCACAGCATGTTGTGGGCATCTTTTTGTCCCATATTCCTCAGAGGAGGTGATGGGGAGTGCCAGGGTCCCCCATGGATGCAGACTCCCACAGTGGGGACACTGGGGAGCCTCGGTGCTGTCAGGAGTAGCTTTCCCGCTGGGGGCTGTGCTGACCAGGCTAGCATCCCTCACTCCCAGGGGTGTCAGGGCGATGGGTTGGGGAACCGGGGGACCAAGCACCAAACGGGGCACACTGGGGAAAACCAGCAGGAACCGGGAATGGGGAGAGGGGGACACACAGAGAAACACGCGGAGGTTGCCGTGACTAACCATCATCCATGTGGTCCGGGAGCTTCTCCTGGTACACCCTCTGCGGATCCTGCACTCGCCGGAGGGCCTGCACGGGGAGGAGAGAGAGGGGCAGCGCGGGGGCGTGGGGCGGGGGCCGCGCGGGGCGGGGGGCGCGGGGCCGCCGTGCGGGGCCGCTCCGGCCCGGCTCACCTCGGCATCGGCGGCGGCCGCGGCCGGGCTGCCGCTGCCCTCCGACTCGTTCACCAGCGAGGACTTGAGGTCGGCCAGGTCGCGCTCGGTGAAGGCGTTCTCGGGGATCTTCTCCTCCTGCTCGCCCTCGTCCTTGAAGGCCAGCATCTCGTCCGTGGCGCCCAGGTCGTCCCCGCCGCCGCTGCCCAGCTGCGGCATTTTCCTCCCGCCGCTCCCTCCCCGCCGCGCAGCAACTTTCCCGGCGAGTATTGTTCTCCCGGATCAAGCTCTTCGCAATTAGTATTTTTTTTTTCTCTCCCTCAATTATTTTTTTTTCCTCCTCTTAAAAAAAAAATTAAAAATAAAAACTAGCTCCCTCTTCAATTTTTCTCTTTAAAGTTTTCTCCTCCTTTCCCTTAACTTTTAAACTTTTTTCCCCCTTTAATTTTGTTCCCCCTTTCCAAATTCCCTTTAAATCTCTCCTTAAAAAAAAAACAAAACAACAAAACAAAACTAGAATTGCTTTTCCCTCGTCACTCTTTTCTTTCCTCCCCCCCGTTCCCTCCCCGCTCGGGCGGCCCGCGGGGGGCTCGGCAGGCTGCGGGCGGGCAGGCGTCGCGGGATGCCGGGCTCCACGGGCCCCCCCGAGCCGCCGCCGCCCCCCCGCCCTCCGAGCCCCGGCAAGTTTGGCTGGAGCAGCGGGCGCCGGCGGCTGGCGGAGCACGGAGCGCCCGGTCCGACTGCGAGCGCGGCGGCGCGGCGGGCGAGCGCTGCGACATCAAAGCGGCCGCCGGGTGATTGGCAGCGCTGGGCGGGGCCGGGGGCGGGCGCACACAGGGACACACGGACACGCAGACACACAGACACACAGCGAGAGGCGCGCACACGCGGGCGGGCACACGGGGACACACACGGGCACGCTCGCTGGCACACACGCTGCCGTGCCCAGTCGCTGCGTTAAAGGCGCAGCCAGCCCGGCACTGCGCTGCGATGGGGTGATCCCCATCCCGGCCCGGGGTGGGCAGCACCGGGGGCTTGGTGCAGCCACGGGTGTGTGTGTGTGCACGTCTGTGACACACACGCATCTCTGCTCGCACATCTGCACGCTCACCTGTGCCTACCTGTGTGCACACACGGACGTGCCTGCATGCACGTCTGAGCACACACACACACACGGCCCGTGCACGTCTGTGCCCATCCACATCCCTGCACACGCACAGCTGCACACTCACCGTGGCACAAGCTCGCCTGCAGCCACTCCTGCGTGCCCACGGCTGAACATGCACCTGCACCAGTCAGTGCTGCCTCACACACGGCTGCAGGCAAACACCTCACACACATCCACATTTATGTGTGTGCACACATCAGCATGTGTCGGGGTCTGCACGGCCCACACAGGTTCTTACAGGGGTGTGTGTACAGCTGCACACACACCTGTGCACACACACAGCGCGCACAGCTGCACATCTGGCACACACAAGCACTCACAGCAGCACACGGCAGAGGGATCCACACATAGCCCCAGATACACCAGCACTAAAGAACATGTAACATGAAAAAGAACACGTAACTGCACACAGCAGCACACCCAGCTACATATCTGGCACTCACAGGCATCTGTACACACACAGCTGCACACACAAACACATCTGCATGCTCACATGCACCTATGAATCTACAAGCACTGATCAGCAGCACATGATAAATGCAAAGGACAGAAGGCCAGATGTGGTACTGCTGACACATCAGTGCACGTGTGTGCACACAGCTCACATGAGAACACATCAACACCTGTGTGTGTGCACAGAGAGACATCCAGGAGCAGACACATATGTGTACACAGCAGGATGTCAGGGTGTGTATGTGTGCACAGACATGCATGAACAGACACACATGTACACAGCAGGGCATCAGGACATGTATGTGTGTACACAGACATACCTCAGAACGTGTAAGTGTGCACTGAAACTTGTTGGGATGTGTGTACAAACACACACTGAAACACCAGCACTTGTGTCTGTGCACAGACAGACAGATGTGAACACACACACACAGACACATCAGGGCATGGATACCTGAGCTCAGGCACACACATCAGGGCACAGATACCGGAGCACAGGCACACAAGGCACACACAGCACACATGTGTACTCACACACACACACACATATTCACAGCACACATGTGTACTCACACACAGACACACACATCAGGCAGGGGACAGATATCTGAGCACAAACACACACAGGACACGTGTGTACTCACTCACACACACACACACACACACACATCAGGGCACAGATACCGGAGCACAGACACACACAGGACACATGTGTACTCACACACACAGACACAGACACAGACACACACACATATCAGGGCATGGACACCTGACCTCAGGCACACACAGCACACATGTGTACCCACACACACACAGACACAGACACAGACACACACTGACACACTGACACTGACACGCATCAGGGCACGGATACCTAAGCACAGGCACACACAGCACATGAGTGTACCCACACACCCACAAACACACACACAGACACACTGCCCCTTGCCAGCTGTGTGCTGACACGCCCGTGCCACACGTGTGTGTCCCTGGCCACCCTCCGTGCACGCCCAGCACGGGCGGCGCTGCCGCCACCGCGCCCTCGGCCCCTTCGCGGCACAGACGTGACGTGGGGTGGCAGAAAATTATTAGTTTTCCTGCCTGGCCCCGAGGGTCAGGAAACAAGAAATTACCATCTTCGCAGCCCATTTCGAAGGCACTAGACACTTGTGTGTCGGCGTCGGAGGGATTTTTAAGCAGTTCCCATGGAAAAGGAAACTCCCCATCTCTTCTGATCACACACGACAGGTCCTGTGCATGTCTCCAGTAGCTTAAAACAACACACCGATATTTATTTTCCTTAATTAAGATTGCACAAGATAGCCCTGGGTCCTGGAGACTTTGCTACAGACTGTAATGACGCCATGTAAATTGTTTTTTATGACCCAATATACAACATATTGTCACATTCAGGCCTTGAATAGGAAGCTAAAAATCTTGGTCCCTATTTCTCTTGTTAATTAGGGTATTATTACTAGGGATATAATCTCATTATTTTTTGGGGAGGAGAAGAACTAGTTGGAGCCACTTTGAAAAGTACTTGAATATATTTAAATGGAGCAAAATTTGTCTTTCTGCTAATTGCTGATTTTGCATGACATAGAATTATTGTTCTGATTTTGGGGCACAGTTGATGCCGGGTTGAAGAAAATGGGAAGGATGCTGTTTGCTTTTTTCCTGCTTATTTTTCTCCTCCAAATGAATAAACTGCCCCATAGGAAACTCCGTTGGCAAATTTCCATTCTTTTAAACATCCCAAAAATAAAATAAGATGCAGCCACTTTGAGGAATAATCATTTGAATGAAATATTTGCTACTTTAAGATTTTTTTTCCTTCTTCTTTCAGATGATCCTCTTGTTTTGCATGTGAAAAAAATCGTCTGAGATTTACAGCCCTCCCAAATGGAGATAAAGCCTTGGCAATGAGTTGGAAACCTGTTGTAATCTGTGATCCAGGAAACAAAGAGCCTCATTAATGCAGAGACTTTGGTGAGCCTTTGATGTTAGCTAGCATAGCATTCACTCTCAGTTCCATTTGCATTTAAACATTCATAAAAACATCATCTCTGCTTCCTTTGCCTTAAGCAATTTAGGAGTAAAGTATAGCTTCTATTTAAAGAAACCCACTGTGGTGAGGCTTAGAATACAAATATCACATAATCTTCAAGCAGAGCAAATATTTTATCCTACATTTCTGGTGGGCACATTTAATAATATTATATGTAAGACCCAAAATAAAACATCCATCTTATTTTCATTAACCTTACACCACATACTCGAGTCAAAAGAGAAAACGGGCCCTGTTAATTCTAAATATACTACATACCAATTTGTGGAAGGGAGAGAATCCACAGGATTTTACATTATTGACAAGAGCTGAATTTTTGAAAACTGCATGCCTACAGCAAGGTGACTAAATCTGTATTTAAGCACACAGCACTGAAAACTGTGAACAAGTTCAGGTTTATATATATATTTCTGGACTGCAGAATCTACGTCTTGGTTTGAAACAGAATAGAAAAAAGATTATTTTAAATTTTTATTTTTAACAGAATCAGAGAAGTAAAATACAAAAATCCCAAAACAACAACAACAACCAAACAAACAAAAAACACCCAAAAAACCAAAAACCCAAAAAACCCCAACAACCAAACAAATGAAAAAAAAACCAAAAAAGCCCAACCAACCTTCCCCCCTCCCCAAAAAAACCAAACAAAAAACCAAACAAAAAATCTAACACATGAAAATTTTCTTCCAAGAGAAGGCAGTGTTGCTCCCAGATGGCATCTTGAGGGAATGGCAATATGTGGGGAATTTGGGGAATCGTTAGAAAGCAAAAGCCTGTCCATCTTATTATCTTCATAAGTATTATTCCCCAACACACCTAGGGGAAGTGGAACAGTACAAAAAATACTGTGGTTGGTTTGTCTTGACATTTGGAAATATTCAGCTGGGGTTGTCCACGTTTCCTGTACCCTTAAAAGTAACCAAGCAATGGAAATTGATCCCGTGGCACATTGGGAGTTCTTGATATTCCCCCTCTTACGAGCAAATACAAGAAAATCTTTAGGTTTGGTGCTGTGAGTCAGTGCAGCCTGAGTGGTGTTTGAAGCATTATAAGCAAGTTTCCTATATGATGAATATCCAAAATTAAAAACTGAAATGGAAAACACTTAAAACCAACTTTACCTTGGATAAAATATTTCTGGAGCTGGATCAAAGGAAAACAAAAAGCCTGGCTTACTTGTCAGATCATATCTGCACTGAACTTCAAGGTTTGATTTGTATTATTTACATGGAAAAGGTCCCAAGAAACCAATTTGGCACTAAATATCTTCATTACGTTTTTTCGCTTGTATGGGTGATTAAATCAATCTAGGGTTCCTGTTTTAATTTTTTTTGAAAGGTGCAGCCATCTGTGAATTGAGGAACTTTTCTGATGTCATCTTTGTGCTTCAGACATGCTTTCCCCCCTCCTTTTTAATTTTTTTTTTTTTTAATAAGGAAACTTTTAAAGGAGCATGTTTGCTTTACTATTAGAGTTTCTAGCTGTCCTTCCAGTAACTGTTTAGAATTAAGGGTATATAGTAACTTTTTAGAACATTTTAACTGTAACACCTGCAGGTAACAGTAAACCAGATTAAAATATAACCAAGTCTGTCTGTTAGTCTGCCTGTTCCTCATCTTGCATTTATCAACATGTTCCCTGAATGCTGTGTGTGAAACTCAGCACATGTATTTTGTACCATGCTATGCACAGCAGCGCTGTGTGGTTTTACACCTTGGAGTAAGTGAAGCCTCTCCTTTAAAGTCAATGTAAATGTTCCCTCTGACTTCTCCTAGACCAGGGTTCCA